AGCCCTGATTACGACAGATTTGAGTTTCTAGACGTTTTTGGCTGTGGATATTTGTTTGCTTGTTCTCCCTGTGGATGTGTGGGTTCTCTCTGGGTACTCTGGCTTCTTCCTACAGTCCAAAAACACGACTGGTAGTGTGTCTCTGTGTTCCCCTGTGACCCCGCCTCTCACCGTCAGACTGCTGCAGATCAGTTGAATAAATAACCTTTAATAACTCACCACTAAATACGCAAAGTCTTATCTCCATCGATAACCTTCTCTTAAAGGGACGGCAGCCTCAGGTTGAGCGTCCTCCATGCTGGTGCTTTACTCTGAACTCATTGACCTCATAAATCTACATCCTGGTTCCCTCTGATCTAAAAACTCCCTCCTTTTTCTTATCTTTATTTTTTTGTTGTTTGTTTCCATTTAAAAAGAAAACAGAGGATGACATGAACTCTGTTATTCTTTAAGTTGGTCTAAATGTTGTTTTGTGCATTTTGTGTTCTTTGATTGAACCAATAAAAGCAAAGAGCTGAAGTTGATCCCAAAGCAAATCTAAAGTTTACAGATTTAGAAACATTTTGCTTAATCAGAAAACCTCTTCCACCTGTTCATGACGGATGAGAACGTGTTCCTCAGATTGTTCTGAGGAGCGTCTGGAAGCAGGTTCCTTGTTCTCCCTAACCGCCTCCTCAGCTCTCTCTCATCTTTACCGATTCATGACGGCTGGTTGTTTATTGAAGATCCGACATGTTCCTTCTGATGAAGTCCATTTCCCAGAAGTAACGTAACGGTTCTGTCTGTGTCCAGCCACCCAGCAGTCTCTGTTCTGCATCAACGGGACTCGCTGTTCCGACGGCGAAGCCTGCGTTCTGGACAGCGAGCGGTGCGACGGCTACCTGGACTGTTCGGATCACAGCGATGAAGAGAACTGCACCGGTAGGTTTAAAACCATCCTGGAGGATTTGGTACCAGTGGGTTAGAAATATAGACGTATACCAAAAACAATCAAATATATACTAAGTCATCAAACCAGTTTGGATCCGACCCAGCATGGATTCCGACCTGTCGGAATCCATGCTGGGTCGGATCCTGGCGTTTGAAAAAGGAGGCAGGGAAAGCAGGATAAAGCATTAGCCTCGCTGCATGCAGTTAGCCTAGCCTTGGAGCTAAATAATTCTATAAGCCTGTCAATCAGCCGCACTTTCTAACAGACGACTGTGACATCAGCGCTGTGGAGGGAGGTGGTGATCAAATAAAGCTGCTTTCAGCTCCGGCTGCAGGAGAGCTGCTCCCCAGGATCTTTGCATTGAAGAGGAGCTTCTGCTCTGGACAACATTAACCAGATAGGGGAAGATTTATGGAAATATGTCTACGATCCAACGACGAAGGAAACGGCTTTACTCGTCATCCATCCATTTTCTTCCTCTTTATCCGGGGCCGGGTCTTAGAGGCAGCAGTGTAAGCAGAGATGCCCAGACTTCCTGATCTATGCTCACCTCCTCCAGC